GGAGCGCAAAGAGGACTGCATGCAGGGTCGTGTGGGGCAGAGAGGAAGCCACCAAAGCACATGCTGAGGGCATGAGGAGGCCAGGAAAGCACAGGGTCATGGAAGCACAGAGATGCAAGCCAGGGAGACAGTGGGATTCATTGTTACTATGACCTGTGTCATCACTGCGCCTGGCCTCCCAGGCCATGGACCAGAACCCCGGAGCGCAAAGAGGACTGCATGCAGGGTCGTGTGGGGCAGAGAGGAAGCCACCAAAGCACATGCTGAGGGCATGAGGAGGCCAGGAAAGCACAGGGTCATGGAAGCACAGAGATGCAAGCCAGGGAGACAGTGGGATTCATTGTTACTATGACCTGTGTCATCACTGCGCCTGGCCTCCCAGGCCATGGACCAGAACCCCATTGTGCTAAGCACTAAATCCAGATTGAGAGGAGGGGTCAAAAGGGAGCAACTGGGTGGGGCACGGGGCAAGCCAAGAAAAAGGGCAGCTAGTCTGAGCCAAGGAAGGTAACACAAGCATTTCCTGTCCCTAAATTCAGGAAGCACTAAGAGAGCCCAATGTCGGTCTGCCTGCACTAGATAAGTCACCTCTTCAATGGCCTGTACTTGCAGCATAGCCATCTGGCCTGAGACCCACCCATAGTGTCTCTCTCAAGCCAGAATTGAGAGGAAGGATCTATCTAGCCAGAACTGCATTGAGTCCACCCTCTCTTCCAGGGCCGTGCTTTCTCCCACCTTGGGACTCTAAGATTGGTTTCTTTTTAACCATATTGATGGATTTTTCTCTCTTCTTCCCCACTCCCCCACAGATTGGTGACTTGGTTGTCAAGGACCAGGTCTTTGGTGAAGCAACTAAGCAGCCTGGCATCACCTTCATCGCAGCCAAGTTTGACGGGATCATGGGCATGGCCTTCCCAAAGATCTCTGTGGACAAAGTCACACCCTTCTTTGATAATGTCATACTGCAGAAGCTGATAGAGAAGAACATCTTTTCCTTCTACCTCAACAGGTGACACAGTGGGGCTGTGGCAGTCATTCTTGAGACATCTGAAGTCTGGCTGTCTCCAAACTATGGGCCACCTCTTCTCTTCCCATTAGGGATGTAATAGTGTAGTGCAGCAGTGGGTATCCCGCGGCTTGTGAGCCGCAAAGAAAAAAAAATTGCAGCTCCTGACGGAACCGGGATGGAACCCAGAACTGCTCAGGTCAGCCACTCGCATGGCCAGGCCACTGAGCCGCATACGTGCTCACAGCCTGTGCCGTTCCGCCCACGGCCCCCAGCGCACTGCGTCATATCCTGCACGTGCAGGCCAGGTTGCACACAGCGTCCCTGCCTGCATGTGCTAGCAGGCAGTGGCGAGGGCTCTGGTTGCAGCCGCGGCGGCTCCAGTGCCAGCGACAGCTACAGGACCTGGGCATAAGGTTAGTGGGGGAGGGCATTTGGGGTAAAGCAGGGGGAGATGCCTGGCTCTGGAGGAGGGGAGGGGAGAGGAAGGTGATTGGGTGGGGGGGTGTACGTGGCATCCCGAATACATGTGGCAGTGGGAGCATCAGCTCTGGCTCCAGCACCCAAGTATAAGGTTGTGGGGGGTGGGGGATTGTGTTAGAGCAGGGAGGGGAGGTGCCTGGCTCTGCAGGATGGGAGGAGAGGGGTAT